ATCAGATATCATCTGCTTGTAGCACCGGTGCAGCTTATATATAAACGATTCCAATAATTAAAAAAAAAATGTAGTGGGTGCAGCTTATACTGAGGTACGCTCTATAGTCTGGAAAAAATGGTATTTATTAATTTGTCCTAAATTATGATTATTGATATCTTATACCTTATCCTACAAATTCAAGTCTATGTACAACAATATTACAAAGGTATATAGGTTTTAGCACTAACTCATCTTGATGCAACAAGTGCTGCTTGCATTTCATCAATCAGTAAATGCTTCATTCTGTTTGCCATTTTTTACCTGTATTACAGTAAAGACTCTGTAGGAACTTTAAATTTTGAGCCATCTTTCCCATATATAAATAAGGCTATAATGATCCTGCAGCTTGAGCTAAATTATTTTAAACTTTTAAATTGTGTCCAAATGAATATGTGTTTAATGTAGAAAACTACAGCTGAGGAAAGATTAGTCTCAGTATTATAGAATCATAACTAGAGACTCCAGATTCTCAACAAAAACAGGGACATGGCCCCTTAATTAAGCAATATTAGTAATATATCTGGAATTTTATTTTTGAACCCCTTGAAAGTACTTTTTTCATGCAGAATTATGCAAAACACAGGAGTGCATCCAATTCCGCTTTGCAGCGAATAGATAAAAAAAGCCACCGATGGAGATTTCAGTCTTTGTCTCATCTCAAGTCTCACTTAGCATGCAAAAACAGGGAAGTCAGATTTCCCTTAGATTTACGTCCTAAAATTTCAAAACCAATTCAGAATTATTTCCTTCAGCTTGAGTCTGATTAAGTTAATTTTGTACTGAAAAACAAGACACCTTGTCCTGGGCTAGACTGTGTTTTCTTCTTCCAAGTTCTCGTACCGCATTCCGATGAAAGAGCGCCTTGGGCAGTGAACACTCACAAAACAAACAAGGTCAAGCGGTCACAGATGAAGCTTCCCTTTAGGAGATCTGAAGCAAAAACATTGTTTGGGCTATCATCTTGGCATTTACTTCAGGGCAGCCATTTTATTCCAAAAAAGCTTCCAAGTTCTTTATCCATTGCTCCACATTCAGATCAACTGAACTCGTAAATGAGATGCCAGCAGGAGCAAAAAGTCCCGCCACCTTCACAAATCGCCCCTGTGATTTCAACCCAAGCGTGCAGTTGTTCTTAGCAGTTAAAATGTAAACACCACAATCAGCATTTTAATTCGTGATTGCAAAACAAGCTGTAAGCTAATCACTGGGAAGAGATAATGAGGGAACCAAAAGAGAGAGTGAGACTGGGGAGAGAGTATGTGATTAGCTCATCCCTGGATTTCTGTTTTTCTTCTCTCACAGCTAAGGGCTTTGCATGTTAAACAAAGTGCCATGTATGCCCTGATAATCCGCTGTTATCTACAAATCTGTTGAGGGTGTTTTCTTTTCCTGTTGATTTCCCTGCCATACATTAGGCCATAGAAGATGTTAAAGCGCTGCTTGTGAGCGTTGATGCCCCAACAGCAACCTAATAATTGTAACAGTTAAGGTGATAGCCCTGAGCATGACAGGACCTTTGGTGAGACGTACATCCACAATCGACCGCTGTAATGCCTTTAACCTTTTGCTTCAGATTCATTACCAAGCTGGCATTGCTGAGAGCAAAGATTGAATGTGTGCCATTAGATATGATTACCTCATGGCAGTTCATTGTAGTCAGGAATCTAATTGTAAAGCATCGCTACATAAAGAAAAGCCCAGCCTAAGCTTTGGCAGCAAGTTAAAAGACACGCCTATAGCGCTAACCTTTCCTCGGCTGCAAGGTTGTGGAAATTAACTTGGTTTTTTACATAATAGCCACAATTATTAGAGCTAAAATTAGAAATTGGTTCCTTTAAAATGTTCAAAACTAAATATTCACTTAAGGTTTAAGTTGATTTAACTGTACACCTGTAATGGAAAAAAAAAAGAAATTAGCTTCCATTATTTAATTTCTTCTCAAGTGCAAACACAGAACAAAGGAGGCGTACAATACCTTGCTCTGGCCACCTCCTTAATAGTCTAAGGCTGCTAATACTGTTAAATGAAAAAAAGGTCTTTGCTAAGCCACCCTTGGATGTCAATTACATCATTTGAAATATCAGCAGTGCAACATTACCAACACAGCAAAAAGAAACCAAGTCCACAGAGGTCTTATGAAATCTCCATTTTCTTTTTCTTATTAATATATTTATTACTGCATGAGAGTGAGGGAATGAAGACATTCCCTGTCCAATTAACTGCAACCGAATTACAGGATATGTCCTGCTTGGTTAGATCTGTCATGATATCAAAAATGCAGGATTAAAAATACATTAATTTTCCCTCCTTTAGAGGTTACCGCAATTAGCCATTCAGTTAGAACCATGTAGAGAGGCGTTTTCCCACATCTCCCACGCAGTTTACTGTATATCTTTATCACTTTCCCTACATGCATTACCTTTCACTTCCTTTTTCTCCCAGCCCTGCAAGCAAACCCACACATGCACTTCTTTTTTTGTAATTCTGTACTCAGCAGCCGCCTCAGAACTTCCTTACTGTTGGCCCTCATCTCTGCAGAGCAGATGGCTGCTTTTCTGCACCACATGGCCAGCACTCAGGAGACGTGGGGCGCTCTTTAAGAAGAGAAAGACTTTCAATCTGCTTTAGCAACTGTAACCCCCCCCCTCTCAGCCTATCGTCACATCATCTTTTTTTCACATGGCATTAGAAGCGACTCCTCTGTCCCCAACAAACACCACCCTGTCAAACTTCCACTGCAGCAATTTGATGCCCTGCTTTTATTCGGTTGGGGTTGATACTTATGTTAATAGTTCATAGTTATATGCGTGAGTCAACACAGAAGGTCACAGTGAGAGGTTATTAAGATGCTGCGTGGATGCTCGGTCCACTGGCCATGAACTCCATCTCAAGGCTCTTCCGTTTTCCAGCTTGTTTCTCTTACATGGGGGAAAACACTCCATATGTATGGGGGACTAGATTTATTATTCATGCTGAGAGTTGGCTTGAATGTGTTATAGAGGCGGGGCTATCTGAAAGGACAGTGAGTGAAGCCAGATTGGATGGAGAGGGTACTGTACTTTTTTTAAGCGTCTTAATGATAGATCAGTTCAAACAACACTGGACTGTTTGGCCTGAGGCCTGCCATGAGAGAGTAAATTATGTAGAGGTGAGTTTGTTAAATCACCTTGGTTTTTTAAAAGGAAATATGCAGTTCATCATAGATATTCATACAACCTGAAAATGTTACCTTTTATCACATTAAAACTCCAAACTAAATTGTATTTTATTCTGATTTTTTGTGACACAGGAACAAAAAATACTGTATAATGACTGAAGAAAATAACAAAAAAGATGTAGCTATGAATTTGCCGTCAGCTTTGTAATTTATGTATAATTTGACCAGTTTCTCTGTCCCCACAGCATGATAATAAGACCAATTGTTAATGATGATTTGCAGTTAGTTTTTCACCACATGCAGAAATTTACTTGGAGAATTGAGTCTTGCCACATTCTCCAGACCTAACAAAAAGAATATTGCAGTTGTTACTGCAATCATTTCATGCTAATCCTAAAGGTTTATAGAAGGTGACAAAAAAGGCAGTCTCTGGTAATACCGAAATCTGACAACAAGTTTGCTTGATTTGTGCTTCCAAACTTGCATGTCTTGGAATTTAACCCCGCCTTTTGCCTTTTGTCAACTCACATAAAAATCTGGGACTCTAAATTTTATTTTATTTTAAATGATGGTACCTCAAACTAAAACGACTGCTTCACATAAAAGCTGAGTAACTGGTTATAGAAAATAATGTTTGATTTAAAGAGTCATATCTTACAAGAATGCCTTCCAAGGTTTGTGTTATTATGATATTGGTTTGTGCTCATATTTGTTGTGTTACAGTAGGTTTATCCAAGGCCAGGCTGCAGTCTCAGCAGAGACTCCAAGACTTCCATCTCCTCAGACACCTCCTCAAGCTCCTCCAAAGGAAGCCTAAAGCATTCTAGGGCCTGCTGAGAGACATAGTCCCTCTGGCATCTCCTGAGGCATCCCCTGGGCCTCCTCCTAGTGGGACATGCCAGGGAGACATCAATGGGGTATCTATGACAATTGTTAGAGCCATTTCAACTGGCTGCTCTCAATGTGGAGGAGAAGTGGCTGTACTTTAAGCCCCTCATGGAAGGCCAGGTTCCAAACCTTATCTCTAGGGGAGTGCCCAGTCACTCTGCAGAGGAACCTGGGGTCTGGCTCTTGGTCATGACCCAAATTGTTTTGACCATGTAGGTCTTGGCTTGAGTGGGCCAGCAGAACTACGGCATCCCTATAAAGCAGATGTAGTGCTGGTTTGTATTGCAAGTAAAACTGTTTGTTTCTCTGTTATATTAAAGATTTTAAAAAAAGTTTACATAAGTCTTCAAAGGTCAACCATTTTTGCTACTATCAACATTGATATTCAATCCCTTTCACTTTGGTATCCTAAACCAAAAAAGTAAGCTTATTAGGAAATATAAAAACTTTTGATTTGGTTTAAAAGGTTTGCTGGTACATCCATCCATCCACGTTCTGTCATGCTCATCCCTGCTGGGCTCGCAAGGAGTGCTGGTGCCTACCTCCTGCTGTCTATGGGCGAGGGTCGGGGTCCAACCTGGACAGGTCGCCAGTTCATCGCAGGGCAACACAGAGACAAACAGGACAAAACAACCATTCACACACACCCACTCACACCTGAGGAGAATTTAGAGAAGCCAGTAACCTAACAGTCAGGTTTTTGGACTCTGGGAGGCAGCTGGAGTACCCAGAGAGAACCCACACATCCTCAGGGAGAACATGCAAACTCCATGCAGAAAGATTCCAGGCCGGGAATCGAGCCATGAACCTTCTTTCTGCCAGGTGGTACTGAGCACTACCCACTGCTCCCCCTCTGCAGGAACATGCATGAGAAAAAACGACAATAAAAGGATTTCTTAGGCTTAATACGTACGATGTGGAGCATGATGTAGTCACCCAGGCGTGGGGCGCTGTCAATGCGAACAAGGATTGCATCCTTTATGGTGGTGCTAAAGCCCACAGCCAGCCGGTCCGTCCGTGTGCTTGGCCTCTCGTTATTGGGCCATGTGTAAGTGATCAGGCCTCCTCCTTTGCCAAAGATGTAGGTGGTGCCAGCTGTTGTAACAAAAGACAAAAAGATACATTAATTTTTTTGACTTTACAACACATTGCTTAGTTTTAAATCCCACAAAGAGAAATAAAGAGGACTAAAAACAGAAATATATTAAATGTGATTATTTATTTTTCAGAACTTTAATCATATTTAACCACTGCCACCTTACAGGTAGAAGTCAGCATCTCCTGAATCCACATTTGGCCTATCTAGCTCTTAAAAATAGCCCCTTTCTTGGGAATAAGAGGCAGCATGGACAGAATGGGATACGTCTCCCAACATTCATGTATTATATATGAGACCTGCAACCAAAGAACAAAGCTTGGCAAGGGAAAATAGAGAAGGGCTTGTGTAGAAGGGCTTGGAAAAGAAATCGAAGAACTTTCATTGAGCTTAATTTGATAAATGGGTCTCACTAACAGTGGGGAATGAGGAATTTGCCAACATTACTGCTTTTTCATCATGCAGATGTGTGTCAGATGCGTGCCTCAGAAATTATTAAGCTTGGCTTGAAGCCATGGAGTCTGCAGAAAGCGTTCCCACATTTCCATTTTTACCACAGCCTGGTAACATTTGATCATGTGGTTGCAGGGTTGGATTCAGTTTCAGCTTCTGAATGTTCCCTGAGGTTCGTCAGAATTTAAAAAGCTAAATCAATGAGCAGCTTAGCCATCCAACTCACGTTTAGGCAAAAATAATCAAGAGATCAAAGGTATTAGACCTAGAGCAGTTAGAGCGCAGTAGCTGAATCCGTATGGGAGGCAAAGCCAAAGTCTGAAACTGTGGGAGGGTGGAAAACATTTGGCCCACCTTGCAGGCTGACAGGGGATCACTAATGAAGCCTATGAGTCCTTGCATCAGTGTAGAAATTCATTTTTTCTGCCTCCATCAACACTCTTCTTCATCCGCATCACAGCCATTACCATTCAGTTCCTCCATGAGTCACCTGAACATCTGTTTGGCCGTGTGATGGGTGCCCAGCTGTCTCACTGTTTCCCCCAATGACAAGGCCAACAATCTGCTCCATGGTCCGTTATACCCCAGAGACTGCGAGAACATATGGATGGAAAAGACTTACGAACACAGGAGAGACGCTCTTGGCAAAATGAGCATCTCTATTCGCCTTCAGGCACTAAAACAGGTCTGCTTTGCACACAGCTCAGGTGTCCCCACTACAAACCACCAGCTATTGCTGTCTATGCAGCATTAAAAATCTTAATAAGTAAAGCCTTCCAAGAGTTAAATAGCTGCTTCTATTTATTATAAACTGTTGGTTGATTACCATTTTTCAGTTGATCATGGTTCAATTTAGAAAAATAGATATCAACAATGGAAGTTTAAGACCACAAACAGTGTTTCTTTATAGCAATATAGTTGACTGCATCTTTAACTCGGCTATGAGTATTATGCATTGTTCATTAACAAAGCTAGCATCAGATAACTAGGCATTGGATGAAGCTTAACAGGCTTGACATTAAGGGCTATGTCTATAATAATCCAGTCACTCGTAGAACTTTAGGATGATGCAGAGTCCTGAAGAGTTGCTATTAACTTGTCTCAAAAAGATAAATGTGGTAAAACTTTGCAAGATTAAAGGTTTTAATCCCTGATAAATGGCTTTAAAGAGAGCCTTGCCCCCTTAGCGTTAACAGCAAGTGGGCTTTATGTAATGAAATATTACCAAAAATGAATAATATATTTAAAGGCAAACTGGTGAAAACACTGTAATGTTATTCATAATGACCCAAAATGATGATGCAAGCACGAACTGCTACAAATGGGAGTATGAATATCCAACGAGTAAGAAATATTGAGAAAAAACATACCTCAAAGATCCAACTACATATATAAAGAGCAATGGCTCACACAGAGGAAAAGATTAAGAGAGGACACCCTAGAAAGCCACTCTGGATGCTGGAAAAGATCCCTGCAGATCTAACAAAACTAATCAGTCAGAGTTAAGCACTTGATTCCATGATTAAGGCAGACAAGATTTTGCAGAGAGGCTCCACAGGATCTTGCCTCAAAGTAATTCCTCCCAACCAGAGTAAAAGCAAAGTTCAGATTCTGATTCCCTATTTAATACGGGAAAATGCATATTAATCTACATAACCATGTTAAATTTAAAAGAGACAATTTTTCTATTTTCTTGCTTGATCAGCATAAATGATGGCCTCAAAAAATACAGGGCATAGCAAAATACAAAGAGGTATAATCAGATCTCAAGTAACCATTTATATCAATAGACACACACACACAAAAAAAATGATTGTGGAGAGAATCAGATATAATTAAATGGTATATATATATACCTCCCGAATCTTCAGAAACTTTGTCTATTACAGTACATCTCACAAACCCTCATTTTTTTCCTTCAGGGAATAATGATGATGAGCAGCAAAAATACAAGCACCCTGGGGAGCCAATTATCACATTGAGGAGATTTGCTTAGTGTTTCAAGAAGACAATGTTCACTACCAAACACACACAAACACACATATACACCCAAACAGGCCGGATGATGGAGGCACAAATCTACATGGTGATGCTCTAGTAGGAATGTGTGCAAACACGCGTACATATCTACGATGCCTTCTCATATGCAGTCACGCGAGTGGGTGATTATCAGCACAAGTGCGGAGAAGGCAGAGAACCCGAGATCGCTGGCATGAAGCGTTTTCTCCAATAACAACCTGCCGGACTTGGATTGCTCCGGATGAATTTCAGAGCGGAGAGGAAATCAACTGCATATCAATTTGTCCAGTTTTTGCCTGAAAAAACACTGAGTAAGGCTTTCTCACTGACATACGCATCAAGATTCTGAAAGCAGTGAAGGATTGTGTGCAACATTGTCGGTGTAGCAGCCAGGCTAAACAAGCAAGGTCAGGAGTCCTAGTTAAATAACCTCACTGAAACGTGAGGGCTTTTCTACTCAAGGGTAGATGTTCTGAGCACCAACATAATTACAGTTCAGCGATTTGTGGGAAGGCTAATTATGGCACGAGGGTAAGCAAAGCAGTACTTTAGTTTTGCTGGCATAACTTGCACATTAGAGCATTTAATCCCTGATGTACTGTGCAGCAGCTTGCAAAAACTATTCATAATTTTTAACTTTTTGAGATTTTGTCACATCGCAAAACCTAAACTTTCATGTTTTATGTGGAGCTTAAAGGAATAGTACACCCAAAACATGATTAGCCTTCATTTTCTACTCACCCCCATGCTGAACAACACCCTGGAGTACTTTTTTGATATCTCAAATGCATCTGGAGATCTGGGAGGCTTCTTGCTGTCTGCTGACATTCAAATAATGGAGGTCTATGGTGCCCGAGACAGAAAGGTCCATAAAAGTCCACAAAAAACGTGTCAATATTCCTCCATACTGCTCGTCCAATGTATTCCAAGTGTCCTGAGTGGGTAGCATCCAGAATTTACTCGAAACGAAGTCATTTAGAATGTTTTTAGAGCATAAACAGTGTACAGGATTTCCTGAAAGCGCGCACATGCGCGTTCACGATGCTACGGAAGCCGGCAGACCAAACCAGATGAAAGTGCGCATTCAGCGTCTGCTCTTCCAATAATGCAAGCGTAGAAGAAGAAATGTGCTGTTTACCTGTGCAAAGAAAGAAACAACGAAAGAAAAATGTCTGAGGACTTCAGTGTTGAGGAAGAGCATGAGTTCTTTGCCGAGCTGAATGCGCTGGTTTGGTCTGCCGGCTTCCGTAGCGTCGTGATCGCGCATGTGCGCGCTTTCAGGAAATCCTATACACTACTGTTTATGCTCTAAAAACATTCTAAATGACTTCATTTCGGTTAAATTCTGGATGCTACCCACTCAGGACACTTGGAATACATTGGATGAGCAGTATGGAGGAATATTGACACGTTTTTTGTGGACTTTTATGGACCTTTCTGCCTCGGGCGCCACAGACCTCCATTATTTGAATGTCAGCAGACAGCAAGAAGCCTCCCAGATCTCCAGATGCATTTGAGATATCAAAAAAGTACTCCAGAGTGTTGTTCAGCATGGGGGTGAGTAGAAAATGAAGGCTAATCATGTTTTGGGTGTACTATTCCTTTAAGTAAGAGACCCAAGAAATAAAGTGCTTAATTTTGAAGTCCAAAGAAAAGGATGCATATTTAGAATACTTTTATTTATCATAAGTAGTATTATTTAATCTGACATGTATACTGTAATAGACTTTTATTTCTAAATTAACATTTTATAAGATTAGCTTGCATTTTTGATTAGCCACCTTTACTCCGATACTCTGAACACACGATCCAGGCTACAGGATCATGCTATAGACCTCATGATTCCTGATCGGGAGGTGGTTGTGAGAGGCTGATCGCTCCTCGTTACTCCCTGTACACTACACAAAGCATGATCAGGCTGAAAGTTGACCCAATGGGAAAAAAATCAAACAGTGTAAACCCGGCTTAAGTGAATATAATCTGGAATATTTGATGAACAAACAAAGGGATGGCAGTCCCTTTGCTTTGAGGATGTTTTTCTCCAATCAGCAAAAAAAGTAGAGATGCAAGATCCATTTTTGACTATTTAGTTGTAAGGGAAAATAAACTGTAAACAATCCATTTCAATAAAAGTGATTTTCGTGCAACAAAAGCTTTAATAGAACCTACTCATGTTGCTCCAGTTTATAGATTGCCTCTTGAAAAGACTCATCTGTCATATCTTGTACAGAATACCTCTTTGGTGTTGTGGTCATTCCTGGAATGATTTCAGATGATTACTCAACGATCAATGTTTGTAAGACAGATATTTTAAATCACGCAGCAGCAGAAAATTCCCATACAGTGTCAGCATAAAAGCTTGGTGAGAGGCCAGCAGCAAGAAAATCGTCATCTAAAGGAATTAAATCTTAAATATAAAGAGAGATCTGCAAAAGGATCTGTATTTGTGGTGAATCAGAGAATGTTTTCATCTCTAAATAATAAAATTGTGTACAAGATGGTGGCCATCTAAAATGTTTTTATATAA